ACATAGTACTATTCTTCTAGATGTCTCTGAAATACAGGCTTCTAAGCAGAGTGTGGGCCCTTATAGAGAAGAAGATAAAACTGAAACTATTGTATATGAAAGCCTGTTTTTGTGCGTAGTTGTAGCCATTTTCTTTAATAAATATCACTTGCTTAAAAAGGCCTGTGATTCTGTGTATCTTGACAGTAACAGTTGGAGGAAATTCAGTGTGTGTGCATACCACACCTGCTTAATCAAATCAGATGGAATTGTGAACACTAAACTCTCTCAAACAAATGTTTGCTGCTGTGCTTAATCTTCAAATGGCTGAGTCATCTGCCATATATAAGATTTCTATGTCTGTTTCCTCATCTGTATGATTGGGTGATAAGTTATGTACCTAACTCCATGGATATTTTGGGAGGGTGGCTGGCTAATATTTGTATTGCAGATGTAAAGTGCTGAGTATTTAGGCATAAAACAATTTATGGGACAATTTATGCATTTGTGGATGCATCTGTCTTTTCTTTTTTTAATTTCTACTATTTTACCAGAGTATAGAAGCAACATTCCATCATAAATTAATTTGAGTTTTAAGTCTTGAGTATATAATGACAAACAGGAAACTGAGACGATGTAAAGATTACTATAAATACAATATTGAATATTTCTTAGCATGTTGTGTTATATCTTCAAGTACTAGATGAACTCTAAGGAATTTTTCAGATCTGGCGTAATATTTTATGCAACTTGTGTAAACTTGTAATTTTAACAGATGTCATTTTTAAACTATGAAGATGGCATGTTAGATCCAAGTTCCATCATTCCTTTGATAGATGGAGGGACAGAAGGTTTTAAAGGAAATGCTCGTGTGATTATTCCTGGAATGACAGCTTGTATTGAATGCACACTAGAACTTTATCCACCTCAGGTAACTAAAAGCATTGATTCCTCTCCCTCCCCTCCCCCCCCGGCGCGTTCCATTTTTTCCACTTATCCCTTCTCCTTCCTCTCCTCTCTCAGAAAAGATATATTTAATAATGTATGATCTTTCCTTATCAGATCAATTTTCCCATGTGTACTATTGCATCCATGCCCAGGCTGCCAGAACATTGTATTGAATATGTCAGGATATTACAGTGGCCCAAGGAACATCCTTTTGGAGGTAATCAGACCCACCACATTTTATTTTATTTTTTAAATCAGTGAACTACAGTGATTTTTAAGTAATCAAAGTACTTGTTCCAAAGTAAAAGGAGCAAAAGCATACTTTGATCCAGCAAACAGTTGATTTTAATTTAGCACTTTGGTCAGTGGTGGTTGGTAAGATAAATTTCACTCTTGGATTAAAATTCTACCTGTTAGTTTTCAGCCTGAAGCACAGATTTTACAACTGCATAAGAAAGAAAAGTAGACTGTGTTGAATAAACAGTTGATCATTTGTTCATTATATGTTTATAGTCTCAGATGGTAGTCATGTTAGATTACACATTGTTCTCCTTTTCACTAATCCACAGCTGCCATCAGCAGAAAAAAGAACAGTCATAATTGTTAGCACAGTGTCATTATTTTCTATTAATAATATAGAAATACAGAGCTGTATAATTTTGGACTGAATTTGTCACGTGAATGGTTCCATTGGGAAATGCTCTTTTATTATGGTGAATTGATAACAGTACTGAATATTCATGTTAGAGTAGCTTGTAATGGTTTCATTGCTTATTACAGTAAAAGTAAACTTAGTCCGTTACAGAGGTTCACTGACTAATGAATGGTTATTTAGATTCTTTTTATGACTTTAATACTATATCATTGCCAAAGTGTCTCATAATTTTTAAAACTGGCTTTTTTTGGCCATTCTTAATCAACCCTTGAATGCTTAAATATTTTGTTGACATTTTTGTTTCCCTTGTGTGTACCAGTAACTTTTCTGCTATATTTGATTTATTGCTGATATTTGTGTTCTTTGGGGGCTGGGAGTGGGGGGGGGGGGGAAGATTTTGAGTGT